ACAGACGCCGACTGCCACTTCCTGTGAGTCCTAACCTTGTTCTTCTGTTTGCTGTGGAGTTTAAGGCACAGATCAGTCAGTTAAAGTGTTGCCTCTGAGCTGACCTCTGACCTTTTAAAGCTGAATGTACGTTTGGTTAAATGATGCTGCTTCCTTCCCACAGAGCAACGACGTGTCCCGACTGCTTCAAACCCACCAAGAACAAACAGGTGAGGAAGCAGCAGAGTGTTAAGATTTCTTACACCCCTCTGTGACTGAATAGGAATAACAATAGACAATTAAAATGTGTTAATTATTACAGAACAGAAGTGAGGGAGCATTACAGATATAGATGTAATGTATAAACGCTCTGTGTCTTTTTTTTCTCTGCAGTCGGTGTTCACAAGGATGGCGGTGGTCAAAGCTCTGGAAAAGATAGCCGACGCCAAATTTCTAAAGTAAACATCACTTTTTTTTATCTCAGTTCTTCTCTTCTTTCTAAAACAAGCTGTTTGAGATGGTTATTGTTATTGTTGATCTTATTTCAGACACTACCCTTGTCCACCAGCGCAGCCGAGCAGCAGCTGCATCCCTCAGGACATCCAGTGTCTCCACGGGTCTGTCTTTGTGGCAGGTATCGTAGGACACTAAAACTCTTTTTACAATCAAAAGTTGGTCAGTTTCTCCTCCTGACGTTCTTCCTGTTGTCCAGGGAGGTACAACAAGTTCTGTCGCAGCCTTCCTCAGACTCCCTGGGTGATCGATGGAGAGAGGAGGATGGAGTCCTCGGTGGAGGAGCTGATCGCAGCGCCCCTCCTGTCTTCCTTCAGAGCCAACAGTGAGTCCTCTTTCATGGCTCGCTGTCTCAGAGCAGCGATGAACCGAACAATAAAATGATCCCTTCTTGTTCTGTCACAGGTTTTAATTTCTCCTCGTCTGGCAGGGAGGACGTGGATGTCCGGACTCTTGGAAATGGTGAGAGATGCACATTTTCTTTTTTGCCCGTGCAGATGATTTTGTCTCCGGATGTGTGAGGGATTAAGTATTTTTCTGTTCCGGTTTGGTTGGCAGGTCGTCCGTTTGCGATGGAGCTGCTGAATCCTCACAGATCCAGACTGAGCAAAGTGGAGATGAAGCAGCTGCAGGAGGTCAAACCCCAATCATTCACTTCACAGAATGCACAAAAAAACACTTCACTCAGTGAACCTGTAGCTGTTTCTATGTGTATTTTCAATTTGCACATGAAAAACATGAGTGGAAAAGGTTTTTACACTTACAAAAGAGTGGAAACTAAATGTATTAATCATGACGTACATGAAGCATGTGACTTAAACGTCCACTAGAGCGTCACCTGCTAACTGGGGTGCAGGCTAACTCTAACCTCTATGCTCCTTCGTCTTCATGGTGAACTCCAACTTCAACCCCTGTTTGCATAACAGTAGAGATGAACCTAAATTTAGCTTTTTTCCCTGTAAATTCAGTTAATATATGTGCTAAATTTAAAATGCTGATGCTGAGCAAAATATCTCAACAGCTTCAGCCAGCATGCAACTTACTTTACAGTGAAGGAGGAGACATCTTGTGTCCTGCAGGAGAACTTAGAAAAACATTTGCTATTCCATAGTTATGAAATTTAATTAGGTGAGGAAAGTGAACTTTTTTTTTAAGTATTGGAATTGAAAGAATTATACTTTTTTTTTGTTCCGAGCAGACCCTATTCTTCCTCTGTCATATTGCTGGAGGGGATCTTTTAACAAAACACTAACCTGAACTCGTGGAGAAAGTTTAGACCTTAAGGCGGCATCATAGAAAACTTTACAGGGTCACCAAAAATATTACGATTCATCCCCCTCAACTGCAATTTCCATGGTTGTTTTTGAGATATCTAAAGGTCCAGTGTGTAACATTTAGGAGGATCTATTGGCAGAAATGAAATCTAATATTCATAGGTTTGTTTTCTTTAGTGTTAAATCACCTGAATTCACGTTTCTTATGTGTTTCGCAGCCACTGTAGTTTTTCCTTTGTGCTTGGGAGGGTGAAGTGACATCCTACACACTGGACTTTTAACTCTGAGCTTTAGTGTTTGACAGACTAACTATTAAACATTTTGTAAAGCAGATTTTATCTCTTAATCTTTCCTCCGTTTAAAGCTACACACGCGCTACATGTGTCTGTCCTCACATGTTCTTCACAGCAGCTGACCTTGTTATTGCTTCGTTTTTAGACCATTAACAAGTCTTCAGACAAAATCAGAGTGAGAGACCTGCAGATCGTCACCAGGTGAGAGCGTATGAATCTGTAAAATAACACTAAACTCTAAACTGTAATAAATATTAAAAGACAGTTGACGAAACAAACGCACTGTGCTGCTGTTTGTGTGAAACCGCAGAGACGCCATGAGTCGGATGAAGGAGGGAGAGGAGGAGAAAACCAAGTCGTACACGGCGCTCATCTGGACCCAGAAACCTATTCAGAGGGACGACATCACCTTCATCGATGACATCAAGGTCACTGCGACACACCAGGAATTTAAATGTAGATAAAGATTAGAAGTTAAAATAAACTCTGACTGTTTTAATCCCGTCAGGATCTGACTCTGGACCAGAAGACCCCCCTGAGGGTGCTGCACCGGCGGGCGCTGGCCGTTCGTCAGAGAGTCATCCACAGTATGAACACCCGCTTCCTGGACTCTCATCACTTCTACCTGGGGCTGAAGACACAGGCCGGGACGTATCCTCACATCACATCTGTTGTTTCTGCAGCTTGGAAATATAATTATTATAAAATCATTACATAGATAGCACAACTAGTAGTTGATTTTGCATCAATATGACTCAAAGATACTCCAAGGCTGCTTTCTTAAACAAATAACTTTCTTAAACAATTCTTCAGCTGAATATTCTGGTAAAATGTTTAATAATTTAACATATACTGTAGGCTAGGTTGTCAACTAATTCTACAAAACTTAAATTTTATTATATATATATTATTTCATATTGCTGCATATCAGATGACATATACGCTGATACTGACAATCTTTATTCATAGAGCACTTTTAGGAGTTATAAAATCTGTCTGTTTTTAAAGTGCTGTAAGTTTAGAATTTAAGCAGCGTTTAAAGGTTTTAAGTTCGGCTTTCTGAAACCTGTCGGCAGCTGATTTACTAAACATTTAATCACAAAGTGCTCCTGAATGTCAGCCAACAGTTACATCAAAGAGTTTGTGCACGGAGACTTTGGTCGCACCATACCGAACCTGTGCAAGCTGCTGAAGACGGACACAGACATCCTGGAGCTGGATGTGGAGGTGAGATCAATAAATAAAGCCACAATCTCACTCTATCATCTCTTCAGACATTTTAAATCTGTATTATTTCCTTTTTTCTATCATTTAGTAAACTGACGACCATCACATATATTTTATTTTATATTCAAAACTGTACAATGAACCCAAATAATGAACTCTAACTGCAGGAAGTTTGTGTAAAACAAGTGATTTGGATAAATTTGTAGCAGATTTTTTCCTGTTTAGAGAACTTTTAATACAATTCTATCTGTATTATGTATTTTTTAACAATCATACAGACTTAATATGCTTCTTTTTTGACAAATTCAGTGTTCTCTTCTCCCTGACGCTTGACTATTGTTCTATGAGACAATTCACTTTTCTTCGCAGAAGTGAAGCAAAAATTGAGATATAGGCCTAAAATCAAGACGCCTTGTGACGCCCCATGAAGCTCTGGCGCTCCCTAGTGGGGAACCTTTAGATGATAAATACTAGAAAGAACATCTGAATAAATCTTTACTTCTGCTGTTCTTGAACAGATGAATTTACAACTGCATACAAAAGTGTCCAACAGCCTTCGTCTTCATCTGTGTTTCCTCTCTCAGTCTGTGGATGTGGACTGGCCGCCGTCCATACCAGAGTGAACGCCGCCCTCGTCCTGTGTCTGAGAGGCCACAGGTTCCATCTCGCCGAGACCGAACTGGTTCGGTCAGCAGCTCGGGGGATCCTGTTCGGGAGGACCAGGAGGTTGTCTGAGAACGTAACAGTGGTAGAAGCCCCGTCGCACAGTCCTGCTGCTGCTTTGTGAAGCCTGGTCTGTTTATGTTTCCGTTCTGGATTTGCCTTTTTGACTGTCTTCATCTTCAGTTGTATCACTAGAAAATGTGTTCTAGTGTGATCAGTTTCAGGCAAGTGATTGACTGTAGCCTTGCTATCAGCAGTAATGCTCATTAAACCAGATTTGTTTTGTTTTTTAAATCAGATTCAGACTCTTCTATTGTTAGATCTAGATTTAGACCCCAGTGTGGCAAAAAAAAGTGTCCAGTTATATGTATTCTCACACAATGTTAAAGCAACTGACGAAGCAGACATGATCACTGTTATCAAGTGTCTGCAAATTATTTTTTTCTAGCAAAATTAACTGAAACAAACCTGATAAATAACATCACATTAAAAAAACCTGAGTCTTTGTCGTGCGTGGGACTGCGTGTTGTACTAGGAAGCTGTAAGACAATGGAAGCTGGTATTAAAGGTCCAGTGTGTAACATTCAGGAGGATCTGTTGGCAGAAATGGAATATAATATTAACAGGTATGTTTCATTAGTGTATAATCACCTGAATATGGGAATCTTTATGTTTTTGTTTCCTTAGAATGAGACTGTTTTTATCTACCTGTGGCGTTGTAATCTGCAACTACACCACTAGATGCCACTAAATCACACACACTGGTCCTTTAAGAAGAAACGTACCAGAGGATCCGGACTTATGATTCTTGTATATACTGTCAATGATCCTGATTCGAGTCTGAGAGAGTTTTATTTGTGACGACCATCAAGGTCAGAGCTACAACAAACTGTGTACTAAAGACTCTTTTGGTCCTTTTAAATGTCTACACATATTATTACATTTATTTATTTAATTTTGGTCAGACACTTTCTTGTTTAAACTCAAATTCTGCCAGTTACAGAAGATTTTATTTAGGCAGCATTTGAGAATTGGATTCTTTTGTTCTGCTGACGTTAGCTAGGTCAACTCTAACGTGGGTGGTACTTGGTAAAAGTGGTATTTTACTTAAAAGAAATCAGCATTTGAGATAAAATCTCACCTCTTAAAATGCTGAAATAAAGAGTCACGACAGCAGAAACCCTGAAATGTATTTCTTTTAATTTAATTCAAAATAAATACTACCACGGCAATGCAAGTCCACTACTGGGTTCTTGCCCTAATGTTTTGGTAAGAAAACAAACAAGCAAACGATCAAAAAATAAAATAAAACAAAATAAAAGAATAAAAAGAGACTTCAGTTAATGCATCCATCATCATCATCATCATCATCATCATTCTTCAGCGACTTTCAAGAGGTGCCTTTTTTAACGACGTACAAGGTAACACTGCCTAGAATGACAAACATAAATAAAACAAATACTATGGTACAAAAAAAGGGGAGCAAGGGATGATGGGATTGGAACAACCTGATGAAACCAGCACTGCAAAAAAATAAAAATAAAAATAAAAAGTCAGCCATGATCCCACTTTTTATAACTTTTTTCTTTTTTTTAAAGAGGGTGAAGGGGGACAGAAATGACAGTGCAGACTCCAGTTACAGTCCTCTCGCAGAAATTCAGGAGTCGGATCATTTTCGGGGACCACGGCGACGGAAGGAAGGCGGGGGGGGGGAGGGGGGTTTGTCTCCATGGAAACATCCTCCATGGATAAGTTGAGTCGGTGTATCAATCCGAGAAAAGAAGAAGAATCGATGGGAGGGTCCAGTCTTTGACACTGTCTTTATTTAGTTTCTTTTTTTTTTTTTCCTTCTTTTAGGTTTTTTTTCTTGAATGCAGGTTTTGAGTCGTTTGCGGTGGTTGGTTGTATTTTATTTTTTTCTGTCACTATTCTCATCAGCAAGCTTTGAAGTACAGTCACACAGAAAAACTAAAAAAAAAGTTTATGTCTCGTCTGTCAAGATGCCACTAAAGACAAAAAAAAACAAAAAGAAAAGAAAAAGGCATTGCATATTTACATCAAGAAGTTTGGGCGACTCGACTTTTTTCTGGCAGTCCTCACAGTCTTCATACTTGAGTGTCTCACGGCTCAGTTTTCTCGTGATCTGTGACATGATTAGTGATTTATTGATACCCTCGGTTCAGATTTTAAAAACGTGTGTATATAAATTTTTCTTCTCACAATACTGACGGGATGGGCAGGGAGAGAAGCCCTGCGTCTGGAGCTGGAAGCCTCGTTTCTGTTAGTTGTCCCCGTGATGAATTAAACTCTCTTCACTCTGATTTATCGTCTAAAAACAGTCTTTGTGTATCTGTGTCTGTGTGAATATGAATGAAAACCTTGTGTGTGTGTGTGTGTGTGTGTGTGTGTGTCGTCAGGGTTCCCACACAGCTGCACAAAGATCCAAACTACACTTCGCGGTTTTTACTCACTGTTCCGATATGTTTCGTATTTCTCTGACCTATTTCATCCACTTCTACGCATGAACTTCAAGAGTATGAGATGACAAGGCATCAGAAAACAACCATTTTCCAAAAATCTTTCGCAATTGCAAATAGCTTTTAAGACCTGGAAATCGCCAAATTCTTCCTCCGAACCTTTCCGGACGTGTGCAGGAACCCTGAAGAGTGTGAACTGGTTTCTGCAGAACAGATGTTCGTCGGCAGTAATCTCCAGAAACAAATGAAATTGGTTCACGAGCAACCACGCAGTGACTTCACGGTGTTGTGCAGCTCTCAGACCATTAGAGGACAGGACTCACTACGTTTGTGCTAATACATTAGTTGTAGTTGTAGCTGGTACATCCGAGCTGCTGCCAGGGATTGTAGTCTGGCAGTTTCCAAGACGTATCTTCATCACATACTGTGCAACAGGACCCTAACCTACTTGATTAGACTAAATGTACTTTGGGCCCGGTCCCACTGGGGGACCTGTGCAGCGCTCTCCTCCGGTCTACGCCTGTCGTATTTAGTGTCTGCCTCCTGTTCCACGATGCAACAGCAGCTGCATAAACATTATTACACGTACACGACCATCAGTTCAATACACACACAACTCGGATATAGTTATAAACACGGGATTTCTTTAGCAGCGAGCCTCACAGAATGGATGCAACTGCACTGAGACTACGAGACGGTTTCATTATGGTTTACTATTTGAATGAGTTGGTGAGCTTTAACAACGACAAGGACAAAATCAGCTTTCAGACAAGTTGACAGATGTATTTTTGAACTTTGGAGAGGTTTGAGGTTTCCCCTTGATTTCAGTCTTTCTGTTAAGCTAAGCTAATCACCTCCAGGCCCCAACGCCAAGTGTTCATTGTGCCATTTTTATCTACAGAGTCCGCCACGTTGAACCACCTTGTTCCTACAGTAGCCCAGAACAGACAAACCAAACACCGGCTCTAGACACGGCCTTCTTCACGAGTTTCACAGCGACCGTTGTTTCACCTGGTAAAGGCTGATCTGTCATTCAAATGGTTGCAATCTGCAACTTCACCACTAGATGCCACTACAACCTAACACACTGGTCCTTGAAACACAGACACAAGAGTGGTATCATTTCCCAACTACTCCATTAACATGATATCGTTTACTGTGCGGTACTGGAAGGTCTCGAGCTGAAAGGAAATCAGATCAAAACTCTCAACTGCTGGTCTGTTCACAGCGCCCACAGAGAAACTTGGGGTCCTGACTGATGTGGATTTAGTTCACAATTAAGTAGGAGACTTGTGCGAGTTCACTGCCTCTCTGTCGGGTTTAAGCTTTAACAAACAGGCAGGAGACTTATAACGTATGTGCTCCTCAAGGAGTCCGTATGGATAAACACATTTTTGTAGAAGTTGAGACTAAATGATGAATCAGAAAACGTCCTGTGTGGTTCCAGCTTCATCAAACCAAATCAAATCCCGTTTTGTTTGGAGAAAACTGCTGACTTCAATCCGACCAGTACAGAAAGCGTAGAGCGGTTTCCTGTTTCTGAGTGTGTGTGTGTGTATATATATATATATATATATGTATACTATGAGTGTGTGTGTGCTATGACAGCATAAAGTTGACCCCACCCCCATGTCCCACATACGTACAGTACATACATACATTACATACATACATTAAGCCACATTTCCCTGTGTAAACACCCATTCCACTAGTCCTACAGCTACGATGAGGAAACAGAAGAGCGGAGGTGAAGAGGAGGAGGAAGAGGAGGAGGAGGAGAAGAAGCGGTGAGAAAGCAGAGAAAGGCCTCGTTCCCCTGCCGGCTGTGGAAAGCTGGAGCGGTTAGCTGAGTTTGAACGCGGTTGTGCTCTGTGGCGCCTGAGTGAACTGTGCAGTTTCTGGCAGTTTAGTGTTTCCTGTTTTCAAAACAAAAGAACAACCTAGAAGTAAAGCGCGAGAGAAGAAAAACAAAATTAAAAAAAAACACGTGGGTTGAAAAAAAAATCACAAGAGCAAAGTAGTAACACTGCAACGATGAAAGGAATGATACAGACTCGTCCATTCTCGTTTTCTGTCTTTCTTTTGTTTTTGTTTTTGTTGTTTTTTTGTCTTTTTCTGTTGACCTGTAGACAGTGATTTTCATTGCCATGGGATTGGGGAATGTGCGCTGCCATGGCAAATGTATGAGAAAGAAAAGGTTTTTTTTTTTGTAATTTTTTTTTTGAGTGAACCACGAGCCATGCACTTATTCTCAACTAAGAATGACCCTTCACAACCCCAAAACCCGCCCGCCCTCTCCCGGAAAAACGAAAAAAAAAACACCCTGTCGGTATGATACGAAACATCTGCACACGTAAGGCAACATTTTTGGTTTTTTGTTCCCTAAAACGGCTCTTCCAAACCAAGTGCAAAAAGTCAAAAGAAGAAGAAGAAGAAGAAGAAGAAAAAAGGGCAGAAACAACAAACAACAAAAAAAAAAGACGAACGCAACCCGGGTCGACAACTTAATACTGACGGAGAGAAAAAAATAAATAACAAAAACATTGCCTTCTGCAGTAAATAGCGCTGAAAATGTAGGAGACTTATTTTTTAGTGTGGGGAGACCGGCTGGAGTCTATCCCACTGTGCAAAAACCTCTTTTAAAGTCCCTAAAAAGACTTCTCCCCGTCTGTGAGGAGGCAGAGAAGGAGAAAAAGAGGGGAGACTGGTATTTTTTTTTTTTTTTTTCCTAAAATGGCTACGTGTTTTCCTCAAAATGGCCACGAATGGGGACGACACTGGCTGGCTGGGCTGGAGCGCTCACTCCCGCCCGCTGGCTGAGTAGGAGAACTGTGGGAAATGAGGCCTTCGCTCGTTGTCCGCCGCGTCCATCCCGTCCTCGTCATCTGCGGAGAGAGAAACAGAAGCATTTTAACATGGTTTTCATCTATATGGCAAAAAAAAAGAGTCTAAATTAGAGGCCTGGTCTGGATTTTCTAGAAATGTTTTGGATGTATAAGCCTGCTTTCGACACGTCGTTAGACCAGTTGGATTCTTCACCATTCAGTCGTTCATAATATCAAATAAGATGTTATTTATTAGCCTAATTTCCATAGGGAAGGAATTAAAGGCCTGTCCCATATAGAGGCCTGTTTCGAATGTAGGCAGGTTGAGTTCAGTTATTGAAGCAAATAGTGACGTAGACGCAAAATGGTTTATTATACTGGAAGTATTACCGCCAGCCTAACCCCCCAAAATCCCACCAGAACGGAGCAGATCGCAGAAAACAGAGAAAGCATCGAGAATCCGATAAATTTTCAAAATAAAATGCAGTTTTATCCACCACTTTGTGCCGTCACTGTCATGTAACATCCGTCATACTCCCATATACTCGATGCTACGATGCTGGCAGATCCTCTATCTGTACCTCGGTCTTGTCCACTTGTTATTTCCAGGACTGACATCTGAGGAGTTTCACTGAGTCACTGGTGTTTGGAGGGAGAGCAGGGGACAGTGTGCAGGTTGAAAGACGTGCTTACATTTTTCCGGCGGAGTGATGGTGATGGTCTGTGCTGTGAACTCCTCGTCAAAGTAGCGTGTGTCCGTCTCTGAGGAGACCTGGGGCTGGAAGGGTGGGACCAGCTGGAACAGACAGGAAGCGAATAAGGTTTATAGCAAGGGATGAAGACACGTTGCTAGGAAGCTCTCAGGTGTTCAATACTCGAGTTAAAGAAATAAAGAAGCAGAAATACGTCCCTCCCTGGTGGTGTTTGGACTGCTTTATGTTGTTGAAATGAGAAAGGGACGAGGTATTCTTTCCTTTCCGTTCTATTTTGGAGTTTAACATCCCAGCCAGACTTCTTTTTGAAAAATTAGGTAACCCTGCTACCAGAATATCTCAGGTACGCTGTTTGAATAAATTACCACTGAAGATCGGATGACGTCTCGCAGCTAAATCCTGCTCTCACCTTCTTGTCGTAGACGTCCTGCCAGTCGATTGTGCCAAAGAAACTGTGTCGCATGATCTCCTTAGCGTCATCCGGTCCGCCGCCCAGCCTGTCAGAAAAGAAGAAGGAGACGTCAAAGTAAGACATCAAATACTGCTCTTACAAAGTCTCCATCAATGGAACCAGAATATCCACCTGCTACTGATCCCAAAATAACTCGCCGGGGTGAACGAGTTCGCTTTCTGAAGCTGCAGTAGCCTCTTTTCACCAGTTTCTTCATTAGAGACTGAAACGCCTCAGGGATGATCAGAGTGGGAAATTAACAGCAGTCACCGGCCAGTTTTGTCTAACAGCACTTTTGCTGAATACCAGTTATCATTAGGTTTAGTCCCCTTTTTAACATGTAGCTGATTAAGTGGTGCAATAAAGCAGTGCATTCGTACCGGATCTATTAGTATCTTTGATCTCCTGTCCTGTGAATAGTTTCAGAATCAGAATTATGTTTATTGCCAAGTAGGTTTTTACACCTACGAAGAATACACAAATATACAAATCACACAGAAAAATAAAGTACTTTCAAAATATAAATAAAGATAAGAAAGATGTAACGTAACCCTTAAAAGGTTATTAGATTTAAAATATTAGCAGCAAAAAACTATTAGCTATGTAAAGAAAAGTGGAACAATGGCTCTTCCTCTGCCTGTGTTGCCATCGCAGCCTCACTGTGGTTTGTTTGCACAGCCGGTCTGCTCGACTGAAACTGCTGTTTGTCTCATCATGTCGGTGAATTAAGGATTTAATTTGACCAAAGCAGAGCTGATGATTGTTTGAACAGTGGAAAGACTAACGACGACAGTTTTATTGTGTTTCCACTCTGAATGAAGTTGTGATGTTACAATGATACAAAGGTACAATTACTGTTTTTGTCTCTGGAGTACGGCGAACAATAGTGGCTGTTCCTGGTTAAACAAAAGGTATTTCCTATAGTCCTACAATCTGTCAGTGGCAAAAACAAGCACTTTTAGTGGATGTATTTGTCCCCAAGGACCTAACTTTGTGAATTAAGGGTTTATTTTGATCAAACCAGAGTTGGGGATTGTTAACACAGATGGTTTTGGTGATTTTTATTTGATTTCTGTCCCATTGTTTTGGTTTTAAATGCCAGTCCCCTGGTGGGAGGAGTACGCAGCTGAGGAGAAGGTGGAGGGTGAACAGATAAATGGATGTTTGTAACTTTGATAGTTTGGGTAAAGTACAGAAAGTAGGCTGAAGAAGACATTTTCTTTATATTTGACATATTCTGAAGTATTTTTTGGTCCTTTTATGCCTTTATTAAACAGTTCTTGGTTTTAAATCAAAGAGTTTGTGTCGTGCTGGAACCAGTTCTCCTGGCTGAGAGCAGCTTGCCCGTTTCTTGTGAAAGCCTGCTGATGTTGTTGTCTCCACGTTATTTGTGTGTGCGTACCGTTTGTTGGGGTCCTTGATGAGCAGCCCTGACAGCAGCGACTTGGCGTCGGCCGACAGGGTTCGTGGGAACTTGATCTCCTCCATGAGGATGAGCTCGAACAGCTTCTCGTGGTCCTGGTTGTAGAACGGCAGGCGGCCACACATCATCTCGTACGTCACCACGCCCAAACCCCACCAGTCCACCGCCCGCCCATAGTCGTTGTCCTCCAGCACCTGATGACAGACAATACTGTTCAACCCTTATGTTACCAGTACTTCCATTTAACAGCTTCTTCAGCGTAGAAAACATGAAAAAGAAACTGTCTGAAACCCAATATTTGAGTAATAATGTATATTGTGTAAGACGCCATTTTAACTATTGTTAGATCAAATGAAAAACGCAGCCAACCTGTGCAGCGTTTCTTTCTGATGTAGCTATTTCTGACCCTGACATATCTGATATCCTCTTTCATTTCCTCTTAATGGAAAAATAACTTTCAAAATGTCCACCAAGAAGAAGTGAAATTAGTTACTGACATTCTACTCCATTCTAAAAGAAACATTTAGCCGCCGTTAGGAGGAACTACATCTTCGGGTACTTCCACATTTTGTTATAATGTTAAGCCCCGGTGGTGACAAACAAACTGAGAGAAACAAAAACACGGTTTCTTTCTTACGAGGACAAAAGCAGATGACAGCAAAGTCTCAGTTGGAGTTTGGACAGTTAGTTTCAGGTTTTTTTGAACCAAAATGATCTAATTTTTGTTCTAATAGTCTGTGGTGTGACCTCTGACCTCAGGAGCCAGGTACTCCGGTGTTCCACAGAAGGTCTTCATGGTGGCAGTGTCGGTAATGCCTTCTTTGCAGAGGCCAAAGTCAGTGATCTTGATGTGGCCGTCCTTGTCCAACATGAGGTTCTCGAGCTGATGAGGAGGACGAGAGGAGTAACAAATATGACCCTCTCATTTTCCACCTCACATACACGTTCAGGACGTGTTAATAACTGTAAACTCAGCACACGTAATGGGTTTTTTACCTTCAGATCACGATAGACGATCTTGGCAGAATGTAGGTAGTCTAGAGCGGATACGATCTCAGCGCCGTAGAAACGAGTGCGGTCCTCCGAAAAAACTCTTTCTCTTGACAAATGGAAAAACAGCTGCCGAGAAACAAACAAAGAGTTCAAACAGCTCAGACATCTCTGTTGTTTTTAAGTTATATTATTACAGTTAAGAACGGTAAGCAGATAAAATCACACACATCGTTAAACAATGCTTAAAATAAATCTCACTGTGTATGTGTGGGAATATTTCACGCATACAGTTTAGAACCAGTTTAATAATGAGGAAGAATACTGATATTTTCCTCTAGATAGACTAATTATATATCTAAAATCTTTTTTAAAAACTCTCCAAAAATTAAATATGTCTCAATTCTTATAAATACGAGGCTGCAGGAGGAGGAATTTCCCAGTGGCCTGACTGTCAGCTCCCCACCCCGCTGCCTGTTTCAACCTGATGATATGATCTCTGCCGTTGCTCACACGTACATACACACCAACACGAGGATACCAGTTGCTCTTTCTGCTGTACCCACTTCAGACTGTGAATTATTACAACAAAGGTGGAGCCGAGAATTAAAAAGGAGTGATACTAAATGCTGCGAAATCACAAGGGACATGGTTGGGCAGGGCCGTCCTCAGGTGACGGTATCAAAACTTATTCGTGCTTTGTAGAGAAGCAGAAGATGTGTTTGCATGAAAATAATACTGAAAGTAAGTCAGGTGGAAGTAGCTCCAGTTACTCAGAGCTCTGATGAAATGTCAGCTGCAACACAAACATTACATACATAACAATATTTATTCCTGTAGCCTTAACCATGGACCTGCAACTGACTTCCTTTTGAAACTAAAGGCACTATTTTGGATGGTTTTTTTTTTGTGTCGTGATAAAACAAAAAGAAATGTCGGTGGCAGAAACTGATCGTCCTTACAGAAGCTTAAGAAGGTTATGTAACACCCATTTTAAATATGACTTCTTTTCAGCATATCCCTGAGAGAGAGAGCATAAAGTAGAAGGACTACTTTAAATGGTATATTTATCTCTAAATAGACACTTTCTCAGGACAAAATGGAGCATAGTGTTACTTCAGGCAGAGCGCTGATGTGCGTGCTTGCATTGACTGACTGACATTAGTTTCTTTATTTATGCTTCACAATGTACAGCACGGTCATCATAACCTCTCTCCGTCTCTTCCCATACTTACTGGCGTGGAAGAGGACTCCCTCTGTGATTATACACTAATAAAAACATACCTAGGAACATTATATTTAATAGATCCACACACAGCGGACCTTCACTGCAGAGAAATTAATGAACTGATGCAATCGCCGCGACAGAGCAGACTCCCCAGTCCTACAACTCTCCAAACAAACCACAGTGAGGGGAGTGGCTGCGTTCTGTTAAAGCTCTTTGAATCGCACTGTGTTATTAATCCTTCTTTAATAATTCTTGAAATAACTCCCATGTTGAAATAAGACCAAACATCTGCCAGCATCAAAAACATTTGTGTTTTAAAAGCAGTTCATCGATCTTTCACCTCTCCTCCGTTGACGTACTCCATTACAAAGCACAGCCGATCCTTAGTCTGGAACGAGTACTTCAGAGACTGCAACACAAAATATACATCGTATTTTTAAAACTCAGCAGTGCTCAGCTGCTTATTTCATCCACATTATTGTTTTGAGAACAGAAGCTTTGAGTCTTTGAATTGAAGTTGGTGGCCACAGCTTCTCTTTTTAAAACTCAACAGTGTGAAAGTAGAGAGGTGGATTCATTTCAACACAGAATTCACAATGTTTCAATCTACATGCTGATACTCACAGTTAGGAACGGATGCCGAGTGTTTTTTAATACCCTACTTTCTGTGAGTGTGTGAGCGACTTCATCCTGTGATAAACAAAGAGAAAAGAAGAGGCAGAGTGATTAATCAGGAGACAAAAGGAGCTCGCCTGCAAACGAGTTCTTGTTTTAGTCCAAAGGTTGAAAAGATGTAATTGGCAGGGAGGTGTGTGAACATCAGCCGAGTGCCAGTATAAATGTTTCTTAATATGAACACACTAGACACAGTTACATGCCAAATATTTGACATTGAAGGTAATCATCATTTTTTTGCGTTTTCACAAGGTAGATCTTTAAAAAAAAATAATTATATGACAGTCTGGCATCTAGAATAAAAACTTGTGCTGCTGCTTATTACATTCAGGTTACAAATTAAATTAATATTAAAAGATGTAAACCTTCCAAACCTGAGTTAAAAAGTGCTTTACAGACAACCAAACAACAGCAACAAGTAAAACCTGATAAAGAGTAAAAAGGACCTTGGCTATGATGACTTCCTTCTTTAGGATCTTCATGGCGTAGTAGGTGCCACTCGCCTTCTCCCTCACCAGAATGACTTTCCCAAACGTGCCTTTGCCCAGAAGCTTCAGATAGTCAAAGTCATTCATTGTCTGGACAAAGAAACAGAGGCATGACGTGAAGAAATCCATCACTAAACGCACTTACACCCTCTTTTAAAAGTAAGGCAGCGATCGGGGGCGATCAGCCGTTCGTCACCTTTCGTTTGTAGTGGCTGATGGAGGTGTCCATCTCCTCCTCGTTGACGTTCTCTATCTGGGAGGTGGGGCTGCACAGGATGCCCTCCTCCTCCTGTTTGGCCAGAGACTCAGCCACCATCTGGATGGCCTCGGCCCACTCGTCCCTACAGGACACAACAGCAGGTTCAAACACCAGCAGGCGGCACTCGTTCTTTGGGTAAGATCTTTAGCAGAAAACTAAAGACGCCTCGATTCTTGAGTACCGATACCAACCCGATACCGTTTGTTTCCCCTCTCTTAGGGCTGGGCGATAAATCGATTTATTTTAGTTAAAATCGGTTTTCTCATGAACTTCCACAACACCGGCGCTCCCTTTGGGCTCCCGTAGGTCAGAGTGCGCTGACCTCGCCCGCCTCTCCACAGATCAAACATGCAGCAAGCCGGATGAGTTTCCCAAAAGGTCGCGGGTTGTTGGACTGGTTTGGTTTTTGTGGGCGTCCGACAGCGGACACCACGACACTGCGACGTTTGTTTGAAAGCTGTTGCAACAATTTAGTAGACCTTTCTTCCAGCACGTCAGCAGCGAGATATACACGCAGCCACAAACACCCGCTGAAAAAACTGTTAATTTAGTGGATTCATTGTTCACATCTGTTGTCCGTTGAAAGCTTTTATTGATGCAGATGCTAAAATGTAGGTTTCCCATTTACACAGTGGAAAAGCCGGGTCGAAAAAATGAAAGGCAAAACTTGTTTTGAATAATTTCTTTGTCATTTGTTTAGTGTGTTTTTTAGAAGCGTGAGAAAAAAAACATCGGGTTAAATGTAAATCGGTTTGTTACGCCCCCTACGGCGTTTGCTTAATAGCCATCAAACATCGACAACTTATTCTACACATGGCAAGGAGAAATACATAACCCCAACTGACTCACTAATTAAAATTTATTATTTTTATTAAACCATTTTTAGCAGCATTTTTATCTCCATCAAGGATCCAAAACCAAAACCCAAAAGCACATCCCAGCAAAACACAACCAGGAACCAACCAGAATCGACTACCCGCACAACGACCCAAGCGTGTCTGGACTGACTGGTTTTTTAAGTGACACAACTCTATTTACGTTCATTTTCAACACACGTCTGCAAACCTTACCTCATCTTTACATTACGTCATTCTCTTTGTGAAGAACCTACACTAACAATCCTGCTTTACAAATACTTGCTGTTAAATCGTACGTCTGTTAAGGATAAACATCAGCTTTTAGAGATATTCATGTCATCGGAGGTTTTACTGTTGTTTTATTGCTTATCAGAAAAATATCGCTTGTTATTTAGCCTGCTGTGTGCACATTTTAAAATGTATTGGTAACGAACTCACCTCATCTGCATCCAAAATGGATCAATAATGCAAAATAAAACCCTAAAAATTTGGCAAACAGCTTTTATAATCCAGATGAATAATAAGTGGTGCAGTGAGATGTGAGAACCCAGTGACTTGGTCAGTTCACACAAAATATCCTTCTCAAACAACCTTGCGGACGCATCGCAAACATCTGCGGGGTATCTGTATCGTGTTGCATGTTAAGGAGGATGATTGTGTAGTTTACATTAACAACCCGTGCATCAACGGTACAAGTCCTAACTGTATACTATTTTATTATTGTTGTTTTTAAACCTTAAACTTGGCGATGTAGTCTCAGCCCCCACGCCCCGTTTCCTGTCTTCTTCTCGCTGTGTGTTGACGGACTCCTGATTTGTGTTGAGGGGAGACTCTAACACAGAACCCTCCAGCCTGGTTCAATGATACCCTCCGGGACCGTTTATATCTGAATCTGCTATCACTCATATCTTTGATGATTTAACTTCATTTTATTAGGTACCGACAAGCAGCATGTTAAAAGGTGTGTATTTACAGCTGAACATAAATCTGCATTAAAATAAATTAGCATCTCAAGTTATCCTTTGATGTCTTTTTTATTTCCTGTGGAAGATATCAGTGAAGTATTCATTGTTTCTATTCTGAATTGATCTGAATTCAACTTCAACATAGTAAATGTCGAAATCAGCGGGGTGGCAGCTCAGAAATACAGTAGGCAGTGAGAATATTTCAGGATTATTTTCCGTCCCTTTTATTTCTCCGCAGTGCTAAGTTAACCCTGTTCCTGTCAAGATAAGATACTAACAAAACCTCCAGCAAGAGGTCTACACGAGTCATAAAAGAGAAAAAGTTAAGTTAAAATGTTAAATTAAGATTTTAAGACCTCGAATGAATTTGTTACCTTTTCCTGTCTCATGACTGGTCAAAAAACATAAAGAAATGAATGAACAAATTATAATAAATGGACTACTACCTTTCAACAACATTCAACAAAATTTCTCGACTCGTATACCCACATTACTATGTTGAGCGACTTTCTTGCAAAGCTTCAAGTTGCATATTCTCAACAGTTCAGAAGGCATAACTATGTTCTAGAGCAAACGAAGCACTGATCCCATATCAATATGATACTACGCTTAAGAAAACCAAAAATCTCTCTTT